TTATTTTTATCACGGATGTTGTTTTTGGAGTTCCACCTCTTCCCGTGATCTCTCATTTTGGCTTCCGCTGCTCAAAGACCGCCAGTGAGGGGGAGCTCACCACCTCCCTAGGCAGCTGATTCCACTGTTGGACAACTCTTACTGTAAAAAAGTGTTTCCTAATATCCCGCTGGTACCTTCACACCCTTCACTTAAACCCATTATTGCAAGTCCTGTCCTCTCTGCTGCCAACAGGAACAGCTCCCTGCCCTCCTCTAAGTGACAGCCCTTCAAATACTTAAAGAGAGCAATCATGTCCCCCCTCAACTTCCTCTTCCCCAGACTAAACATTCCCAAGTCCCTCAGCCTTTCCTCATAGGGCTTGGTCTCCAGGCGTCCACAGAGGTACATCGCCATTGTGTCTCTGCATGAGTCCCTGCTCTCAAATGGCCTGCTTTAAACAGAGACAAAAAAGGGGAAAGGGGGGAAAAAATGAACCTAAAACTTAGAATCCAGAACCTGACAAAGGTTAGTCAAATGCAAGAAAGGGGGCCAATATTAAAAACTTAATGAAGGAAATATATAAAAAATACATGTATTTATTAATCACAAATTTTAAAATTATATAAGGGCCCAATCACACGTTATGTATAAGTGACAAACAATAAAACACAAGGGCTGATAAATCTCACCTGATGCGTTTCGGCCTACATAGGCCTTCCTCAGAGGAATAGTGAGCTCTTTGCTTGAGGACAATTTGGCTCTACAACCATAGGAAGGCGATTCCTGGACCAGAAGTTTATATCTGAGAACCACTTGGCATGTGATTGCACTTTTAGAGGTCTCATATGTAGTTTTTACTCTGTGCCTGGTGATTTTATCTTGAAACAACTTGCTTCTGGGTCCTTATTGAATTTATACTTTGTATTTATATGATTGTACTATATTTATAATAGCCGATATGTTCCTCACTACTGACCTCTGAGGAAGGCCTAGGTAGGCCGAAACGCGTCAGGTCAGATTTATCAGCCCTTGTGTTTTATCGTTTGTTATTTATACATAACGTGTGATTGGGCCCTTATATAATTTTGAAAATTGTGATTAATAAATACAGGGCTTTTTTGGTAGAAAAAGCCCAGCAGGAACTCATTAGCATAATAGGCCACACCCAACAGCAGAAACTCACTAGCATATTAGGACATACCCAACAGCACATTTCATTAGCATATTAGGCCACACCCCATGACTTCCCTTGGCTTGCCTGGGCACCGCGCGGCTGCAGGGCACCCGGGCAAGCCAGCCCTTGGACAGGCCGGGCAAGGCATAGGGAGGCATTTAAATGCCTCCCCGATCCTTTCACCCCCCTGGCCCACCCGCCTTGGAGTCACCGGGGGGGGGGTCACTCTCCAGGCCTTCCCTTTGTAACCACACACACAGAGGTTTTGGCTGTAGTGGGCGTGGCCAACTCTGAAGCCAGCCAGAACTCCGTTCCTGTGAATTCCTGCCCAACAATAGCCCTGAATAAATACATGTATTACTTATATATTTCCTTCATTAAGTGTTTAATATTGCCCCCCTTTCTTGCATTTGACTAACCTTTGTCAGGTTCTGCTTCAAACAGAAACACCAAACCCCACACATGGCGTAGGCTCCATGGCAGGCAGGCAGTTTGACATAATTCAAGCAGAAAACATTCTAGGATGCAGGAGTCAAGTGTGCCTCCAATTTTAACTCGCTTGGAGGAAAAAATGCTTTGCCATCAGAAGCCAGGGAAACCAGGAAGCACGCACCCTATCAATGATGTGGCCCAACTAGTCTTGGTTCATGCGTCTAGAGGTGGGGGGGGGGGGGGGGGGGGGGGGGAGAAGAGGGGCAGCATGAAGAGTTGCCGATGCTTGAGGCCCACAGCCTGGCACAAAGCCCACTGCCAACGAGAGAACAGGAGTTCAGCCCCAAGGGACCTACAAAGCCATGGCAGCTTCTGTTTACTTACTTAAACATTTATAGCCCACCTTTCCTTGTGGTTCCAGGCAGCTTACAATAACAGTTGAAAACATTCCCGGTTAATACCCCAAATAAAATGACAAACCCCCAAATCCCTCCCTCCCTCCACCTCCCTGCCAGCCAAATCCCCTAAAAAGCCTTGGCAAACTGATGTGCCTTGCATTCCAGGGCGGGGGCCCCTCTCACCTCTTTAGGGAGCTCATGCCACAGAGCCAGAGTCATGATGGAAAAGGCCCGGGCGCTGGCCAATGCCAGACAGGCCACCCGAAGTGGCGGGAAAGCCAATGGATGGCTGCCTGAGGACTGTAGCTGGCATGCAGGAGCAACAGGCTTAGGATGTGTGTGGACAGGGGCCTCTGGGGGGTGTACTTCTGGTGACCCCCCCCCCCAAAAAAAAAGCTGGAGCCCACAATATCTCAGCAAATAAACATCCTGCATTGAACAATTCACTTCCCGGGATTTGGGCGGCATAGACATCCGTGGGGTAACCAGACGAACACACACCGAGGCAAATGGGCTTACCTTCCTGTCTGTTTAAAGAACTGCTCCTCAAACTCTCGCAGCACTTTCCGTAGTCTTTTCTTGTCCGCTCGGGTTTCTCGGAGATGTTCCAGCAGCACGGGCCTGTCAAGGGAGAATTGAGTTTGGGAGGTCGGGTGGTTTTGAAAACACTTAATGATAACGATAAGGCAGGAGACAGATTCAGAGTCATGAAATCATCTCCGACAGGTGTTTGTTATCTCACGCAGCGTGAGTTTAGGTACAGAGCTGGACTGGGTGTTCTTCATTGTTTTTGTTCTTAAAAATATGGACGAGGAAGTCTTCCCAACCCAAGTGGGTATCATCACGCTTGAGAAGGCATAGAGCAATTTGCGTTAATGTGCCCATGATACCATCTTTTCCCGGGATGGCAGCTGGCAAAGTCCATCCAGGAGATGCTGCGTATTCAATGCACTCAAATACTACAAGAGGTTCCGTACCGTAACACAGGTAAACTGGTAATGCTGCCTGAGCTAGCTCAGAATGATTTCAAACAAAATAATAGGCAGAACAAAACAATGCGCCATTCAGCCGTGCTTCCGGTTCCCCACCCCTTCTCTATTGCATCCCACGGGAATTTCGGGCACCTCCTCCGGAACAAAAGATACATGATGGTTTGTTAAATTCACCCAGCCTGGGAATGAGTACCCAGACTGAGTCAGGTGGGGTTGCACACCTCAATCATACTCTGGCTCACAGCTTGCTTTCAGCACTGCTCCTGCATGTCCAAGCAGGAGCAATGGTCTTTTGCCACTGGTGCCCTTTTCCAGAAGGGGAATGGCTCAGCCTGTCATTCATGGCTTAGCGACAGCTAGACTGCTCTTCTGTGATGCATTCTACCAGCAGTTAAACTTTGAGGAATATTTGAAAAATGCTGCCAGAATGTTAACTGAGATTTCCTACTCTGAAAATAAAATGCAAGATTTGCGCAATAACTAGTGGTTCTTCTATAGCTTTCTCGGCCTGATTCAAAGAATCCTTTTGGACATTTAAAGCCATCAACAATCTGATCTCTCCAAGACTATTTTCTCCCACCCAACCAGCCCCACAAACAGATTTTCCTCTGAGATCACCAGAAGTGCCGTGAGTGGCTATGCAAAGGAAGCTGTTGTAACAATGGTATAAGGACTATGGAACTCCCTGCCTAGATGCCCACCTCTCTCTTTCCTGGCTGGTCCTCTGGTGCCAGGGCAACGGTGGATAACTGTCCCCCGTTGTTAACAGGGATGGTTTTGGATTTCTCAGTCTCTTTTGTTTGGACTGAAAATCCATGTTTCAATTTCACTTCTTTGTGAAATCAAACCTGAGTCTTCATTCCTCCATCATATTGCCCTTCTGTGCCCCGAACATGTGTATTTTGGGTGCATCACTCAATTGGCATTATACTTATACTAGGAGTAAGGCCCCTTGTGGGAAGAAATACAACGAGCTCTGGAAGGAAACTCCAGGTGAGTGTCCCGGCTGTGGCTGGTGGGGCGGCGAAGCAAAGGGGAAAACAGAGGGAGACGAGCCATGTTTATTTCCTTCAGCTTAGCTATAAGGCAGGGCTGTCTCAAGTCATTTTGTTGCCCCAAGTTGGCAGTATGGGAGGAGAGTCGCATGGTAACAGATATGATTCCCTCCACACCGACTTATGTTGACTTGGGGCTATGCAATGGCAGCTAAGGTGGAAAAGCACCTCCTCCTATGCCATGTTTTCTGGGTTCCAAGGGTCTGGAAAGCAGTTCCATAGCCAGTTACTGGGTTGCCAACTCTGGGCTGGGAAATACCTGTAGATTTGAGGGGTAGAGCCTGGGGAGGGCAGGTTTTGGGGTGGGGAGGGACCTCAGTAGGGTATAAAGCCATAGAGTCCACTGCCCAAAGCAGCCATGGTCTCCAGGAGAACTGATCTTGGTCATCTGGAGATCAGTTGTAATACCTGGGAAATTTTCTGTAGGGGAAATGATGTGCTGTGGCTGGGGAACATGGTGATTTCTGGGAGATCTCCTGGCCCCACAGGGAGATTGGCAACCCCAGTGAATGTCTAGGGGAAGATTGGGAGATGTATTTTACCTCAGGACACATTCAGTGACTTCCAACAGCAACAACAAACAGTTTCGAATGTTGGAGGCGAGGGCCAATCAGCCTGCATATGCAAATGACCTTGAAAGGCTAGCCCAATCAGGTAGAAAGTGAGTCAGCGGGAACACGGCTAGCCTTTCATATATATCTAGATTATACACACACAAGACAATTCACATTGTACATATAAACACCATATGTATATTGTAAAAATTTCCCATACAACCTAATCTACACAATAAGCAGCAAAAAGCAGAGAACCAAAACTGTGGACAGAAATATAAACAAACAGGGAATATTCACTTGTTCCCAATTGCTAATTATGAGCTGTAGATTTGGTGAAGGTTTCTACTGATTCAGTTCATCTTGCTAATTGTTTTTGTTGCGAGGGCGTTTCCCAGCTCTTGCTACAGTTTATAGTTGGTTTATTTGGACGATTCAATTCAATGTCTAGGGTTTTAGTTTTTAGTCGGAACACAGAGGTCGTTTGCATATGCAGCCTGATTGGCCCTCACCTCCAACATTCGAAACAGTTTGCTGTTGCTGTTGGGAGTCACTGAATGTGTCCTGAGGTAAAATACATCTCCCAATCTTCCCCTAGACATTCACTGGGGTTGCCAATCTCCCTGTGGGGCCTGGAGATCTCCCAGAAATCACCATGTTTCCCAGCCACAGCACATCATTTCCCCCAACAGAAAATTTCCCAGATATTACAACTGATCTCCAGATGACCAAGATCAGTTTTAAAAGTATGTTGTGTGGTGCAATCCTAAGCAGGGTTGAAGGTGCAAAGTTCCATCAAGTCACAGTTGACTTAAGGCGACCCTGTAGGGTTTTCAAAGCAGGAGACAAACATAAGACGTTTGCCATGGCCTGCCTCTGAGTAGCAGCCCGGGAACTTCCTTGGTGGTCTCCCATCCAAGTACTAACCACGGCTGACCCTGCTTAGCTTCCCAAGCAGAGTGAGGCCAGTTTGGTGTAGTGGTTAAGTGCGCGGACTCTAATCTGGGAGAACCGGGTTTGATTCCCCACTCCTCCACTTGCACCTACTGGATGACCTCGGGCAAGCCATAGTTCTGGCACAGCTGTTCTTGAAAAAGAGCAGTTTCGGTCAGAGCTCTCTCAGCCCCGCCTACCTCAGGGTGTCTGTTGTGGAGAGGGGAAGGGAAAGGAGTTTGTAAGCCACTCTGAGACTCCTTCGGGTAGTGAAGGGCGGGGTATAAATCCCATCTCCTCTTCTTCTTCTTTCTAAATCCACTGAAGACAGTGGGCTTTGAATGATGCAACTCTACTTGGGACAGCACTATTAATAGACTTTTTCTAGCTGTCTTTTGGACTGCTGATGAAAAGGTACATACAAGTGTTTTACGGCCTGTGGCCACTGTGGCACCTGCTGATAGTTTTCCTGGTGCCCACCAAGTTTTTTTTAAGAAAGTGGGCATGGTCAGGTGGGGCTTTTGCCCAGCAAGGGCTTTGATTGGCCACTGGAGATCTGATTCAGCTGCACAGATTTTTTAAAAAATATTGCTTAGGCAGCAGCTGCCGCCATAGCACAAGGGCCTTCACTGCGGCAGTGAAGGTATGCATGTTTCATGTACTGTGGCCCTGCCTCCAGAGGTAGCCATTTTGTGGCTGTGCTCGCCATGTTATGCCAGTATCCTAAAGGTGCCTAAAAGGTTGGGGAACCATTTTACTAAATATATCAAAAACTGAACACTCACATGGTAGCTTCATGCAGGTTAGACATAGACAAGGCGGGCTGCTTGATTCCCTTTTTTTCATCCAGGGGTGAGACAAAGGCGGGCTCATTCTCCTCGTCCGAGCGCCACAGATGATCATCAGCGGGCAGGTTGAGGGACGATGTAGCTGAGGACAATTCATAGCAGCTCTGGGAATGGTCTTCATCAGAATCTTCTTCCTCCTGCTTGTAACAAGGAATGCAGATTATCAGATCAACTGCCTGTCACCATCTCCTTTGGAAATTAATGGAGAAGATAATGTTAAAATAAATTAGATCGGCACTGCCAAGTTATCACTGAAGAGCTCCCCGGGGGATCGTCAGCGGGCAGGTTGAGGGACGATGTGGCTGAGGACAATTCATAGCTGCTCTGGGAATGGTCTTCGTCAGAATCTTCTTCCTCCTGCTTGTAACAAGGAATGCAGATTATCAGATCAACTGCCTGTCACCATCTCCTTTGGAAATTAATGGAGAAGATAATGTTAAAATAAATTAGATCGGCACTGCCAAGTTATCACTGAAGAGCTCCCCGGGGTAGATTGCAATGTTTCTGACCACAGGGACAGAGCCAATGCATGTAAATTTCCCCCCATGCGTGGGCAGCACCATGCTCATGAGCATGTGGACATGGAGGAAAGACTCTGGCATGCAGATCTTCTGTTTGACTCTTTGCAATGTTTCTGACCACAGGGACAGAGCCAATGCATGTAAATTTCCCCCCATGCGTGGGCAGCACCATGCTCATGAGCATGTGGACATGGAGGAAAGACTCTGGCATGCAGATCTTCTGTTTGACTCTTTGCAATGTTTCTGACCACAGGGACAGAGCCAATGCATGTAAATTTCCCCCCATGCGTGGGCAGCACCATGCTCATGAGCATGTGGACATGGAGGAAAGACTCTGGCATGCAGATCTTCTGTTTGACTCTTTGCAATGTTTCTGACCACAGGGACAGAGCCAATGCATGTAAATTTCCCCCCATGCGTGGGCAGCACCATGCTCATGAGCATGTGGACATGGAGGAAAGACTCTGGCATGCAGATCTTCTGTTTGACTCTTTGCAATGTTTCTGACCACAGGGACAGAGCCAATGCATGTAAATTTCCCCCCATGCGTGGGCAGCACCATGCTCATGAGCATGTGGACATGGAGGAAAGACTCTGGCATGCAGATCTTCTGTTTGACTCTTTGCAATGTTTCTGACCACAGGGACAGAGCCAATGCATGTAAATTTCCCCCCATGCGTGGGCAGCACCATGCTCATGAGCATGTGGACATGGAGGAAAGACTCTGGCATGCAGATCTTCTGTTTGACTCTTTGCAATGTTTCTGACCACAGGGACAGAGCCAATGCATGTAAATTTCCCCCCATGCGTGGGCAGCACCATGCTCATGAGCATGTGGACATGGAGGAAAGACTCTGGCATGCAGATCTTCTGTTTGACTCTTTGCAATGTTTCTGACCACAGGGACAGAGCCAATGCATGTAAATTTCCCCCCATGCGTGGGCAGCACCATGCTCATGAGCATGTGGACATGGAGGAAAGACTCTGGCATGCAGATCTTCTGTTTGACTCTTTGCAATGTTTCTGACCACAGGGACAGAGCCAATGCATGTAAATTTCCCCCCATGCGTGGGCAGCACCATGCTCATGAGCATGTGGACATGGAGGAAAGACTCTGGCATGCAGATCTTCTGTTTGACTCTTTGCAATGTTTCTGACCACAGGGACAGAGCCAATGCATGTAAATTTCCCCCCATGCGTGGGCAGCACCATGCTCATGAGCATGTGGACATGGAGGAAAGACTCTGGCATGCAGATCTTCTGTTTGACTCTTTGCAATGTTTCTGACCACAGGGACAGAGCCAATGCATGTAAATTTCCCCCCATGCGTGGGCAGCACCATGCTCATGAGCATGTGGACATGGAGGAAAGACTCTGGCATGCAGATCTTCTGTTTGACTCTTTGCAATGTTTCTGACCACAGGGACAGAGCCAATGCATGTAAATTTCCCCCCATGCGTGGGCAGCACCATGCTCATGAGCATGTGGACATGGAGGAAAGACTCTGGCATGCAGATCTTCTGTTTGACTCTTTGCAATGTTTCTGACCACAGGGACAGAGCCAATGCATGTAAATTTCCCCCCATGCGTGGGCAGCACCATGCTCATGAGCATGTGGACATGGAGGAAAGACTCTGGCATGCAGATCTTCTGTTTGACTCTTTGCAATGTTTCTGACCACAGGGACAGAGCCAATGCATGTAAATTTCCCCCCATGCGTGGGCAGCACCATGCTCATGAGCATGTGGACATGGAGGAAAGACTCTGGCATGCAGATCTTCTGTTTGACTCTTTGCAATGTTTCTGACCACAGGGACAGAGCCAATGCATGTAAATTTCCCCCCATGCGTGGGCAGCACCATGCTCATGAGCATGTGGACATGGAGGAAAGACTCTGGCATGCAGATCTTCTGTTTGACTCTTTGCAATGTTTCTGACCACAGGGACAGAGCCAATGCATGTAAATTTCCCCCCATGCGTGGGCAGCACCATGCTCATGAGCATGTGGACATGGAGGAAAGACTCTGGCATGCAGATCTTCTGTTTGACTCTTTGCAATGTTTCTGACCACAGGGACAGAGCCAATGCATGTAAATTTCCCCCCATGCGTGGGCAGCACCATGCTCATGAGCATGTGGACATGGAGGAAAGACTCTGGCATGCAGATCTTCTGTTTGACTCTTTGCAATGTTTCTGACCACAGGGACAGAGCCAATGCATGTAAATTTCCCCCCATGCGTGGGCAGCACCATGCTCATGAGCATGTGGACATGGAGGAAAGACTCTGGCATGCAGATCTTCTGTTTGACTCTTTGCAATGTTTCTGACCACAGGGACAGAGCCAATGCATGTAAATTTCCCCCCATGCGTGGGCAGCACCATGCTCATGAGCATGTGGACATGGAGGAAAGACTCTGGCATGCAGATCTTCTGTTTGACTCTTTGCAATGTTTCTGACCACAGGGACAGAGCCAATGCATGTAAATTTCCCCCCATGCGTGGGCAGCACCATGCTCATGAGCATGTGGACATGGAGGAAAGACTCTGGCATGCAGATCTTCTGTTTGACTCTTTGCAATGTTTCTGACCACAGGGACAGAGCCAATGCATGTAAATTTCCCCCCATGCGTGGGCAGCACCATGCTCATGAGCATGTGGACATGGAGGAAAGACTCTGGCATGCAGATCTTCTGTTTGACTCTTTGCAATGTTTCTGACCACAGGGACAGAGCCAATGCATGTAAATTTCCCCCCATGCGTGGGCAGCACCATGCTCATGAGCATGTGGACATGGAGGAAAGACTCTGGCATGCAGATCTTCTGTTTGACTCTTTGCAATGTTTCTGACCACAGGGACAGAGCCAATGCATGTAAATTTCCCCCCATGCGTGGGCAGCACCATGCTCATGAGCATGTGGACATGGAGGAAAGACTCTGGCATGCAGATCTTCTGTTTGACTCTTTGCAATGTTTCTGACCACAGGGACAGAGCCAATGCATGTAAATTTCCCCCCATGCGTGGGCAGCACCATGCTCATGAGCATGTGGACATGGAGGAAAGACTCTGGCATGCAGATCTTCTGTTTGACTCTTTGCAATGTTTCTGACCACAGGGACAGAGCCAATGCATGTAAATTTCCCCCCATGCGTGGGCAGCACCATGCTCATAAGCAGGTGGACACGGAGGGAAGGGTCTGCCCTTGCTCCCCTCTACCAGCATTCAACCAAAGCACCACCAGTAGCTTTCACAGGGCTTGCAGTAATGTTGCAGAGGACTGCATTGCTGGGGTAACAATCGTTCAGAGAACACACTGTTATTTACGCCAATCTTCTTTGGACTTACAATGGTGGTAATCAAAGTTGGTGTCGACAGAAGCTGCTTGATAATCCTGTAGCGTTCATAAAGGGGCTTCATCAGACTCCTGTCTTGCTTGCTGGCCTAAAAAGAAATCGGATCACTGTGTTGACTCTACAGAAACAAGATGCTCGACCTGTGTCAAGCTCTGTGCCCAAGAAAGAGACATATTTGTCCTCATCCTAATAATGATTTGACTTCCAATGCGCAAAAAAAGTAGCGTTCATAGTTTTAAAAAAAACAACACGTACATGTGATCAGTGTTCCCTCTAAGCTGAGTGAGTGTGAGCTAGCTCACAGTTTTGTAGCCTCCGGCTCGCACATTTTTGTCTTTGCTCAGGAAGGAGGGCTCCAGAGCAAACTAAATTATGCCGCAGCCAAATCGCTCGCTCACAACTTTAATGCCAGTAGCTCACAAAGTAGAATTTTTGCTCACAAGACTCCACAGCTTAGAGGGAGCACTGCATGTGATAGGATACTGTACTTCCACTTTAAAAAAAACAAAAACCACTTCATGCTACCACTTCTCCTATAGAAATATAAAAAACAAGAGATAAACCCCAGCTGGATTCATTGTGGGTTTCAAGGAAAGGATTGGTCCAGGGCTGCACCAATCCTGCCAAAGGGCACCGCTGGCAAATCCAAGAGTCACTTCCTCAACACAGCCCTTGGCCATCGCAAGACTCAGTGCCCCTAACTGAGGCTACTGCTATAGCCGCAAGCACCTGCTTTAGTCATCCAAGGTGGCCTACGGAGGAGCTGTGGCTCAGTGGAGGAGCTCCTCAGTCGGGGGCGGGGGGCGGCTCAGCCTTTGATCTGCATGCAGAAGATCCCAGGTTCCATCCTGGGATAGAATGATAAAAGGGTTGGAACACTTTCCCTATGAGGAAAGGTTAAGGCGCTTAGGGCTCTTTAGCTTGGAGAAACGACGACTGAGGGGTGACATGACTGAGGTTTATAAGATTATGCATGGGAAAGAGGAGAAAGAGGTACTTTTCTCCCTTTCTCACAATACAAGAACTCGTGGGCACTCCATGAAATTGCCGAGCAGTCGGGTTAGAACAGATAAAAGGAAGTCCTTCTTCACCCAAAGAGTGATTAACACATGGAATTCACTGCCACAGGAAGTGGTGGCGGCTACAAGCATGGACGGCTTCAAAAGGGAATTAGATAAGCATATGGAGCAGAGGTCCATCAGTGGCTATTAGCCACAAGGTATAGATAGGGACTCTGGGGCAAGTGATGCTCTGCCATCTTGGTGCTTGGGGGGGTCAACAGTGGGAGGGCTTCTAATGTCCTGGCCCCACTGGTGGACCTCCTGATAGCACTGGTATTTCTGGCCACTGTGTGATACAGAGTGTTGAACTGGATGGGCCTTTGGCCTGATCCAACATTGGCGTCTCTTATGTTCTTATGTTCTTATCCCTGGCATCTGCAGTTAAAAAGGACCAGACAGTAGGTGCTGTGAAAGACCTCTACCTGAGACCTTGGAGAGCCACTGCCAGTCTGAGTAGACAATGCTGACCTTGATGGATTGACCGTCTGATTCAGTACAAGGCAGCTTCATGCGTGCTCACTACAGTGTAATTTAACGGCTGCACTGGGTTCATATCCCTGCTCGGCCCATCAAGCTTGCTGGGTGACCCCTTTCTTCACTGAGCTGTTGCAAGGACAAAGGAATGCAGAATCATCGCATGCTGCTCTGAGTTCCTTCAGGGAAGGGCGAGGCTACAATGTACGAGACAGACAGGCTCCCAGTCATCAAAAGACTTTCACGAGACACAGTCGTTCCAGAGATCCTCTGCCCTTTCCTCGAATACCCTTCAGTCTTGCTCGGTGATTCACTTCCTACCTCAAACATACTAGGAAAGAAAGGTCTGCTGGCAACCAAAGGACAAACTGAGCCCAGTGAAGTGAGCGACGCACTGATTCCAACTCCCGGTGGCTAAAATAGATTTCGTTCATGTCTTAAACTTCGAGACCATCAGCGTAGTTTTCATGTGAGGCCTCGTGCCCAGGGCTATTTTTGGGCAGGAACGCGCAGGAACGGAGTTCCGGCTGGCTCCTGAGTTGGCCACGCCCAGCAGGAACTCATTAGCATAATAGGCCACACCCAACAGCCGAAACTCATTAGGATTGGCTACATTCGGGGTGTGTGGCCTAACATGCAAAGGAGTCCCTGCTACCAAAAAAAGGCCCTGGGTTTTGACAACAAACAAGGTAAACAGAATAAGAAGCAAAAGGTGGGTGTGGCTGGATGACCACACTTCTGGTGGCATGGGGGTGTGGCCTCATGTGCTAATGTGCTTTGCTGTCAGGGGTGTGGCTTACTATGCCAATGAGTTCCTGCTGTTGGGTGTGGCCTGTTATGCTAATGAGCTCCTGCTGGGCTTTTCCTACAAAAAGAGCCCTGCTCGTGCCAATGCTTAGTCCTCAACCATCAGCTGTGCAATTCCAGAAAGAGCAGTCTGGGTGGCCAGCCCTTCATCTGGGCGGGATAACCGATGGCTAAAGCGCCAAAGCCCGTTGGATAATCTTTCTGTCCTTCGAAGGTGCGCGGACTCAAAGGGAGGGAGAGATGACGTTGCAGCGGAAAGGGGAGAAGGATGAGGTTCATCAAGGACAGGAACTCTGAAGAAGACAAGGGACTGGCCAGGCTGACCAGATGAAGGATGCATTAACACGGTTTGTATTGAGTCGGCCCATTGCCCCACTGAGTCCAATGCTGTCTTGTTCCAGCTGGCAGCTTTGTTCCAGGATCTCAAGCAGAGACCTCTCCCAGCCTTACTGCCAGAGACCCTGCTTAATGAAGGTGCTGGGGGATAAACTGATATGCTTCCACATGAGCTACAGAAAAGTGAAGAGGCTAGAGGTGACCCAAATAGAAGCAAGTCCAGTAGCACCTGAGAGACCAACAAGATTTTCAGAATATAAGCATTTCGGGGTACAAGCTTTTGGGGAGTATCAACTCCCTTTGTCAGATAATCTAAGGCAGGGGTGTCAAACATGCGGCCCGGGGGCCAGATCAGGCCCTCGGAGGGCTTCCCTCAGGCCCGCAGTGGAACTGGCCATCTCCTGCTTCCAGTTCTGCTGCTGCTGCTCTATCATAGCTTGCTTCGCCAGACTCTCTTAATCGCCTGGCCATTTCATGTTTTAACCTGGGTCCTAGACTCTGAGCATGAGATTTCTGTGGTGAATGTCAATAAATCAAAAGTAGGTTTGCAGCTTACAGACCTAATGTTTTAAGCATGTTTTTTATTTTAAGTTTAAAAAAAAACCTTTGTGTTTGTGTCCTTTATAAAGTTTATATCTCCGCTACCTGGCATTACGTTTAATGACACACATGGCCTGGCCCGACAACAGTAGCACTTTTAAGACTACCAACTTTATTGTAGTATAAGCTTTTGAGAAACACAGCTCTCTTCGTCAGATGCAACTAATGAATGATGCCTCTGACAAAGAGAGCTGTGGTTCTCGAAAGCTTATGCTACGATAAAGTTTGTTCGTCTTAAAGGTGCTACTGGGCTTTTTACTATTTTGCAGCAACAGACTAACAATGCCTAGCTCCTCAGGGTAAAAATAGATAATGATAAGGATATTTATTTGTCCAATGATGTTCATTTGTTTGCTAATGATATTTATTTGTCAGAGAGAGAGAGAGAGAGAGAGAGAGAGAGAGCATTTGCAAGTTTAACTGGCTGTGTATTACTTGGCATTCAGACAAACATCATAGGCCTCCAGAGGCAGGCATACACAGTGAGAGAGGTTTTACATTTACTCTATCTAAACCTTTCCCCAGATTCTGAAGTTTCACGGTACAGCCCTTTTCAGTAGTGACAATTCTGGCACTCCTCCCTCACAGACGGAGACAGCGTGCCCACCCGCCATCTTCTCGACACATGTATTCACCACTGAAGGTGAACAGGACAACATACCTATTTTCCATCTACCTGGGAAGCCCAGATTTTTCAGGGCACATGTTCACTTGCACCAAAGCTGGAAAACATGCACACTGCCACATTCTCACAAAACGGTGAACGCTCGCATCGGGAGGATCACACGTAATATGTGCTCCCGGCATGCAATGTAGGAGCACCAAAATGGTCATGACAGAAAAGTTCACACTGCTTTAAAAAAATGTTAGTCATAAAAATATAGTAAAATAGAACCAAACCAACACCTATATACTTTTTCCAAAACTTATTCCAAGACTCCAGATTGCTAAAACGTTTTCTTTAGTGGCCTGCCCTCTCCTCCATCGTAAGTGTTCATAAACATTCCAAATCTGAACCTTCCCCAACCTTCTTAGACCCTCACATATCCAATCTATGTAGGAATGCATACGCACACAAGGTATAAAGATGCCCCCTCCCCACAACCCTCTGATATTTGGGTTCTGCTTGCACAACTGTGGCAGGTGGAAAGACCCAGACTGCTAAGCGTTCATACGAAGCATTACTGGGTTCTCATCACTGCCGCTCACATTTAAGGCATACACTTTACAAAATGCTCAATGGCATGTAGTAGCTTTTCTTCAAAATCCAAAGTGCACAACCACCGACAGCCCAGTTATAGTTACGATCAAGTGATTCCAAGAGATCTGGACTCCTCTTAGATCCTTGGAAATTGACAGGATACAAATGTGGTCAGTCACAATGACTACGAAAATGCTGACACTCTAGTCCTTGACTAAGATCTCACATATCCAATCTATGTAGGAATGCATACGCACACAAGGTATAAAGATGCCCCCTCCCCACAACCCTCTGATATTTGGGTTCTGCTTGCACAACTGTGGCAGGTGGAAAGACCCAGACTGCTAAGCGTTCATATGAAGCATTACTGGGTTCTCATCACTGCCGCTCACATTTAAGGCATACACTTTAGAAAATGCTCAATGGCATGTAGTAGCTTCTCTTCAAAATCCAAAGTGCACAACCACCAACAGCCCAGTTATAGTTACGATCAAGCGATTCCAAGAGATCTGAACTCCTCTTAGATCTTTGGAAATTGACAGGATACAAATGTGGTCAGTCACAATGAATACGAAAATGCTGACACTCTAGTTCTTGACTAAGATAGCT